TACAATAGGAAAAGGAACTTCCCTTTTTATCATATCTAAAAGGAACAATACAAAATAAAGATATATTATCGAGAGCTAAGCTATGCAAGTTTTAGGAATTACAAACTGCTGGAGTCGTACAGTTGAACCAATACCTTTTGAACTATTTACTAACACAACGAAAACGGGTTTAAGGGTAGGGGTGACGTACGGGAAACTGTTTATTGCCAACGAGGTTGGGTCGAGGATCGTACATTAATGTTTGGAGTGGTATCTTGAGAATAACTTGTTATATCGTGTGTTTATGTGTATAGCTAAATTTTGCTGTCAAACTAAGATTAGAAACGCGATTTACCAATATCCCAGTTATTGGCACTTTGTCAGAAAAGCGAACTCAGATAATCTAGCTTTGATCTAAAACAAACAGCAAAGGAAACTCGTTCAAGGTAGGCCAATTGGAGGGGGACGAGATCGGACGGAGATAGGACTTTTTTCTTTCTATTCACTGTTTCAAAGTCTCAGCATCACAAATCTTTCCCAACCCAAGAACCGTTCTTGAGAGACCCAAAACTCTAACTAAAAAATTTAACGGAAGGGTATTTAATATAATTGGTGGAAACTTAGGACGTTTTACGTTTGATCTTCAGAAGTTCATAGGATACTTACAGATCTTGACAATGCCAAAGGCTTATTAATCAAAAAAATTGTCCCCATGAGTTTTTCTGTTGTTTGTTTGATCTCGGATGGATTGCAAGACTGTCCCATGAACCTAGAAAAAAACCAGAATAACAAATAACTAAACTGCTATACCAATAGCTCAGCTAACTATGATAAAAACAGTACTTGAAGCAACGCTTTTTACAGTTATATAAAAGAGCATGATTTAACGGGTAACCCTTTCTTTGGATGGGACGAGAAAGTCATATTCTAGTTTCTTTGTTCTCTTGTATCAAGTCATGAAGTTGAAGACTGGATGTATAGGTACAGTGTATGAATATTTATGGCGATTGATAGGGAGCTTAGGATAATGATGATCCCTGCGCATCAAAATTTCCATTTTACATGTTTTTGGGACTAGGCTAATTTCCAGCCAATCGGTGTAGCATTACAATTTCTTCACAGCCAAATGTAAACCTACAGGGTACCCATTGGCTTTTTAATAAAATTTTTGGTATTTAGGGCTTTTCTTATGACGAGTGTTAGCGACCAATAATCTTAATACGAGTGTACATTGTGTCCAATAATTTTGCCAACATTTACAACGTTTTATCGCCGAGCAACATTGTATAAAAATATACATAAAATCTATTTTGCCGGGCCAAGTCGCTTATGTAGCCTAGTCATATTCCCTTGTAGTTTAGTTTAACCTTTCTATTTGAGTCCATCACGGAAGTGATGTTACTTTCCGAAGGTGAGAGTAGTTTAATATTGTTAGTGGCATCTAGAACACCAGCCTCTCACAAGGAAAAGTTGGCATTTGATATCAATATTGTATCCTACTAGACTGCATAAGTGTTCTCCTCAAATGTCACTAATTGCAACATTAACTCGCACAATTTAAACTGTCATTTCCTAAAAAATTGTCCCGTGTGACGATAAAGGTAAAAATGTCCAATAATGTCAAAACATAATAGTGAATAAACAATAAACAATAAATAGCTGGCATGGGATATCGTTGCTATATTCTTGATTCAAGTGTTGCCACCCCCCCCCCCCAGCGGAATAAAGTAAGCGACAACTGATGGTGGGATTTGACGTAATTCCTGTACACTGCGTAGCACGATTGGATTAGATTATTTTCTGCATTCTGACAGCCCGTAAATTGAAGCAACACCGAAAAAAATATATCGACGAGGCAAGGGGTTGTGGGGTGAGCTTAGGACCGCGTTCCTTCGGTGACACTTGATAACCTTTTTTTCTTTGCGAAAGGTATCCGTGAACATGCTCAAGAGTGACCTTAAAAGACGATAGATATCAAAGGAATCATCACTTTTGCCATGCTTCAGGAAACTAAAATACTTAACTCGTTCAAAAATAACACCAAAACACAATTTAAAGCAATTTAAAGTATTTTCAGACCATAAGATTCCAAAGAATCTCTTCGAATTCCCTCGAAAAACGAGTAACCTGTAAGGATAAAACCTGAAGTTATCGAAAACCTGAAGAATGTGTGTAAGGTGTGTAACGTTTCACGGCGCATTTTTTAGAACTGGTGTTTTCAATATCCATGGTTATATTTACATTATATTTATCTATTTTTGCTTTCTACAAGTACACTAGAGCCGGAACGTGGTACAGGAAATAACATTGACGTGGTAAGTCAATATCCTGATATGTTGAGACATTTTCAGTGAGGCATGCCCGGCCCCTCCTTAATTCAAAGGTATAAAGATGTATCATTTGGGGCTTTTCGTTGGGTAGAAGCAAACAGGTCTCTGAGATGAAAGGTCTGATTCTCGCAGCTTTGGCTGGCTTCGTGCTTGCCATTACCTTGGCACTTCCATATACTGAAGATGAAGCAGTGGCGTATAACAACGAACTGGGAGAAATTAGAAACGACATAACTCAAAGGTATGGGGCTTTAATGTTAACACTAGCTGGGGATAGGAAAAAAAACATCAAAAGAGAAAAAAATAAAAAAAAGATGGCTGACATTAAGAACTGATCCCCATCTCTTCCCCCTTTTGAGAATCTTTACAAGCCTCAAGACAAGGCATTCCTTCCAATCCTCGTAACGAAAGACCATTTTATAACTTCAAGGATCTTGACCAAAATGTTTATATTAATGAAAGCCTAACACTTGGCATGAACTTCACATTGTCTTAATAATAACTCAAACAACGTCTAGATGGCGTATACGCACAAAATTGATATCTAATGAAATAGCAGGACACGATAATGTATAATATTTTCAGCCTTAGCATTCATGGGAGCTGGAACTTCCCGAGACCAACATTATATCTTCCACTAGTACTAAAGGAGTTCGCTTTCTGATTATTGATTACCCTTGTATAAAATTAAATAAATTGGTCTGTTTCGATTTTACAGAAAGACATTGCTCGGCTCAAAATCGAAGAAACACAATGACAACCTCCCATACATGTTTAGTAGAAAACTTCAATCTGCTCTCTCTGGCTAAGTAAGCCGTAGGGAAAGGTGTGCGCCCCTGTAGCCAACACAATAATTATTACACACAGGCACAATAATTGTTGGCATTCTCTCTTCTTTCTTACCTTATCTTTAGTAATCTTGAGTCTGAAGATTACGATGGTGAGGTAGACAGTGATGACAATGAAGAGGACGAAGATAACCAGTTTGAGGATGAAGACGAGGAGGAAGAAGACGAAGACCAAGACGACGATGACGACGAAGACGACGTAGACGAGGGAGAAAGTTCTTTATCCAATCCAGTACAGCAGTCGTCTGATCCGGTGTGGCCCGTTCTTCCCGTAATTCGCGTATTTCGTGGTGCTCGCCGACTTGCTCGTCGCTTCCGCCGCCGCCGCCGCCACCGTCGTGGAAGGCGAGTTGGTCGATGGTTTCGTCGTCGACGAGGTCGCGGTTAAAACTGCAAGGCTAATTGATTGTAATCAAGGTAAGCACATCCAAAACTAACCCCCGAACCTTTTTTCTTTCGATAGCCTCATTTACAGCATGAATTTAAACTTATGTTTATTATTATTATTATTATCAATATCTCAAAACTATAAAGAAACTTTCTCACTTGAGTTTAGATATTTATAATCAGTTACTTGAATTTATAACTTGATTTGACTGCAAGAATTAGGAATCTCTAGTTTCCTATGTGTGTATTATTGTTATTTCACGTGAAGTATAAATCTATGGCTTAAAATTAATATTAATGACCAGAAGTTAGTTTTCAACTGCAATCCGAGAACGAAACATAAGGATACAAAGAAATGTTACCCATGCAATCGGAAGCGTGCAATTGGTAGGGGGTTGTGTTTTTAACTATAAACATCTTATCATAGTACGCGTGCTACTTTCTCTTTCTCTTTTGCACGAGGCTATACAAACACAATTGTGGTGTACATTTTATATCTGCTGAATTAAGTGGGGAAATAAATGTTGTATAATGCAAACAGTAAATAAGGTATGGGAGAAATCAGAAGTAATTATATTGTGCAAGCGATGACAAGCCCATCAAGCTTCCATAACCTTTTATATTAATATCAACTGTCCATAGATGAAGTTATGCAAAGATCATGCCGTTTTCTGTTCTTTTTTTTTATTATTATTTCTTACATAAATTTCATTGTTCTAGGTATTGTTTCTAAATGCCTTAAAAGGTCTGATAGTTCTACGTGAATCTGGTACATCGCTCTCTTTTTTATTTCAATTTCTGGGTCTGTTCAGTCTGTTCATGATCTGAGAGCTAGACGATGACTTATGTGTGAGCAATTTCTGAAGTAACATAATTTTATTTTCATCAGATTTCTCAAAGGGTCCCGAGGAAGAAAAGAGAGAAACCGAATACACCATAAACCACCTGCTCCATCAAGATTAGCTTACTTCAATGATCAATTAATTAATAATTAACAATTTACATTTATATTGCGCAGACTACATGAAAATATAATCACCTGCACATAACAAAAATAGCTTTAAACCAATTAAAAACTAAAAAAGTTCAATAATGTAAAATGAACTAAAAACTACAATAAAAACTAGATGAATAAAGATTAATTAACTAGATAAATATAGATAGATGCAAATCACATCGCTAGATAATAAAATGTCAATAGGCGACGTTCGATATATCAAATTTCGAACATGGTTTCGAAGCTTTCTGGACAAAATGGCAAGTTTCTTTAGTCCCTCAATTCCCAAAAGAGAGTTGCGTACAAATGAAAAAAACACAACACCAAATATAGAAGTTTGTCCTGAAAGCCTTGAAGCCATGTTAGAAAATTGATCTATCGAACGCTGCCAATTAGATTAGATAAAGAACTGTATAGAATGTAAAAGCATAAACAGAAACTTGTTGTTACCACTTTGGATAATAAAGTGCACTAAACGAGAGTTCCATCTTTGCGTCCCATTTGTTTCCATCAATTGTAAGCGGAAACGTTTGTCATATTGCAATATCTATGTTATCATATGACTAGCTCAGTGAGCGAGCGAGATGAACTGAACCCAGCGCTGTGATTGGCTACCCGAGCGGGCAAGATGGCCCAATCTTGACCGATCGGGACTACCCGCTGTGTCCCGCAAGAAAATTGTGTTCTTTTTCTATATAGTAACTTTGTTAGTGACCAAACATGTTCGATCAAGATGGCTGGATATTGTTTCTTTTTTACGTGTTTATGGATCTCCACTCCGTCTCGGTTCATGAACATGCAAATATTAAAAAAAAAAGAACTTAGCCAATAACCATTTATAATCATTATATCTTGACCGAACAAGCTTGGTCAATAACCCATATATATAGATTGAACTTCGAGGAGTCTCCTCTTAGTCAGTGGTAAAGCGTCTGACCGGTAAGCGGAGGTCCATGGGCTCGATTTCCGTTCAGAAAAGAAAAATGGCAATGATATTCGAAATAAGTTTGAGCTTTCTTCTTTTTTTTAAATTCTTTTTGGTTTTTTTTTGTTTTTTCTCGTTTTATAAGAGAAAGCCAGGCTTACTGATTACTTATTCTGCTGTAGTTTGGCACAAATGCTGGATATGCTGAATAAATATGAGCTGTGGAAAAACGCTGCGTCGTAGTATTTTACTCATGATCACAGGTAGTCATGGGACTACAACAGTTCTCAAATAGTTCACCTGAAGGCAATACAAGCCGCAGCGGAAACCGCACTGAGCTCGAGCTAACGAGAGGACATGATAAGAGTACTTTGTCTTCGACCTCATTCACCGGGCCATTTCCCTAGCTTGGCACCTCACAAAAATAGAATTTAAAATTTTGTGCTTCCATTAAAATTGTGTCGTCTTTTAATACTTAACTCGGGACTTTTGCGTTTAATTCAAAAAGGGACACGATATTATGCTCACGATAACACAAATAATATCTTACGTGGCAAGGTCGTGTTGCTTGTTGCTTGCTGTTGAGAGCGAGTTGCCGGACGCATGCGCCGAACTTAAGGCTCAGAGGCACAACTTATATTATTGCTTGAATCCCTTTTCACGGATATTCAATCGGTCTCTTGTAAAAAAAAAAAAGTGGCCCGACGTCAATGTACACACATTCCATATCAGTCAGGCGGTAGAGTCTCTCGCACCTGCTGAACGCTGATTGATTTATTGAGATTTCAGAGTTCCTGGCTGTATGCTTCTCTATGCTATGGCGTGATATGGAGTGACGTCAGCATTTCCGAATAATCGACATCCTGGATTGTGAGACTAAAACACTAAAACTGGCTCTAATCAAACAATTCAAGAGCACTGAACAAAACAAAAGAATACGTGGATTCAATCCAAAATTTCAAATACATGCCTGCCAAAATACGAGCCCATGGAAACATCAACATTCTTCACCAATAACAAGTCATAACGAATATTTCCCAGATATAGGAAAAATCATCCAGCTTGGAGCTCACTGCTTTACTTGTTTAAAAACTTCAAGGTTTAAGGTCATTCCACTGAAATAGAACCTGCAATGAGATTTTTGTGAAACTTTGCCTATTGATTGTTTATATTATAGGAACTTAAATTTTGAAATAAAAATGAGGGGTTCCCATGTTCGTTTAGGAGCAACAGCACCTTGTTTATACCCATATAAATCCTTATAATACAACCATGACTGTAGTCACGATTGCTTGCTAAATTCACGTTTCCGACGATTGCTTTTTTTCCTACACTGAGAATTGGTCCATATTTATTTTACACAGAGAAATTTATT